CTTTACAACTTCTAACTGCCTCATCCCTGAATATAAAAACATAATTCCCAGACTTTCAGATGTTTGATAGAAAACATTTAGTTCTGCTCTACAGATGATTTGTGAAATGATTTTTATGCTGCATAAATCATGAGGGTTCCATGTTTGTGTTGCTTATTAAGGACTGCTCATATCAGTATCCAAACCCGATAGACATGCTTGTTATAGTTTGGAGCAGTTTGAATGTAAACTACAAGATTTCTCACAAAACACGATGTCAATTAAACTGACTATTGGGATTTTATTTTGACTGTTTCAGGTTGAGAAGGGATACCAAGTTGTCCTTTTTTTATTTTTATTTACATAAACCACAGTTGAACCACTAACATTGTTTAGATGGTGATTTGGCACCAGCAGTTAGGGATGGCATTCTAGTCTCCACCATTACATTAACCTTTTTTTTTCTTAATATTGATTATGTGCAGCTGTCTTCAATTCATTAAAATAGATCTGTTTATCATTTGAGGGGGGGTTGATTGACAAAGATAAATCTGCATCTTACGCCTCCAGTTTAAGCTCTGGTTCACAAAAGCAAGTTGAGATTATTTTGATCACTGTCATTGAAGCTAAATTGTAGAAATTTCAATTGAAACTATTTGTTCAGAGATCTAGTTCCTGTCCCTTTGCACTCCAGTTCCCCAGAGAAACCACCACATAAGATTTTTTTTCCTTTTTTTTTTTCTTTTAAGAGTTAGGATTGTATGATGTGTAAAATTAAGTATAAAACAATAAAATCACAAAGTTTATTTTAAAGTAAACTTGTCTTTTGTTTTGCTTTTTAAACATGATTGTTACTTTTTTCCCACATTTAGCTGAAGCCTTAGTCGTTACATGTACCGTACTTTATTCCATCATTCATAAAAATAATTGTGACCACATATTGCAAAGTTGTGCTTTTGCAGTTTGCCACAGGCTATGTAGTGCACAGGGCAAACACTTGGGAGCTACTGCTTTCATATTTGACAAAAAGTAAACCCTTATAAGGCTTAGAACGCTATTCTGCACAAATAGGAAAACTGGATGTTGAATACATAATACAAAAAAAACCTTGAAAAAACACAACAGATTGGATTAAATTAGAGTGTTCTGAATTATTAGAAGGATCCATTCAAAATCCTGATCTAATTCTGTGACAAACCTTCACTATCCAGTCTAAATGAGCTTGAATTAAATTAATAAAGCTGACATGCCTCAAATTACTTCTAGCTGTGTAAATTATCACATCAGGATGGACTGATACAAGTGAACTCTACTTTTTTCCTGATTTCAATACATCCATAACTAAATTATTTTACCTTGATTTTTAAATTTACACACGAACTCCTCATCTTTCAAATAAAATCACTTAATGCAATTAAACTTCTGGCTGTGAGGTGACTGTTTGTGGATACAGTACTCCAGCAAGGCACTCTATAGCTTTATGCACTAAACGTTACATTATTGGACTAAACCAGTGCCCTTCTTTCACACGGTCCCTCAGCTTTTGTACTTATTGTTTTGAGATTCAACAAAATGTTGGAACAAATGGTGCCATCCAGCAGCACATAATGTGCTCTAGTGATCAGCAACACTCAGAGCTTGGTCAAAGCAGCTGAGTTTGTTTTGTCTGAATAAAGCCTTACGATGACTCCTGTTGTGATTTTTACAATTCATAAGAATTAAATTAAATGAACAATTGTGCTCTTTGCTGAAACACTGCAGCTTTGTCCCCTAATGGGATTGAAATCACAGAAAAAGCTTTTAGTGTTGGGATTCTACATCATACAAAAACGGTCCTGTGTAAAATGACCTAAATAAGTAGAGCACTAGAGCAGGTGCTGTGTCCTCTACTAAAGGCAATGCACAAGAGACAAACAAGGTTTCCTGACTATCTGTTGAAGAAATTATTACATTTTATGAATAGACTTTTTACAAATGACATCATTTTACTTCGCTATTTTCAGCTAGGACTGTCATTTCTTTTTGCACAAGCTTTAAGCACCAGGAATACGCCATCACAGACCCCTGTAGGCCCCAACAAATTAGATCTTTTGCTTTGCACAGTGCATTCTGCTTATACTGAAGAAAACCAGCTGACAAACCTGTCTGAATCACAATATAATTCAATGTAACAAAACCCAGCATCATTGTCTAATTATAAAACATTTGTGCTCTGGTTATATTTTTTGCTACATCAGCACAAGCAAAAATAGTTTCAGCAAGTAGCACCTTTTAAACTATTCTATGAGTCTGAAGTTGTTTTCTAACCTGAGAAAAGATGGCTTTTCTCAGAAAAGGTTTGGTTGGTTGGTTGTTTTCTACAATCTTTTGGGATACTCAGTAGAAAAGCACCCTGGGAATGCAGAACAGATCAGGTGCAGGAATACCTTAAAATCTGTTCCCAGCTTCTATACAGAAAGTGTAAGACGTTCAGTATGTAAATATTAAATATATTAATTTCAAGGCCATGTAAGTTCTAAAAAACATTGCATTAATGTAACCTAGAAGCAGATAATAAATAAGAATTTCAATGTGCTTAAATAATAGAATTAATCTGATCTTTGTTATTTTCATGACATAGAAAAAGCCTAAACTAGTTCCTACATTTTTTTGTCAAATCAAAGGTTTAATTAAAAAAAAAATACACCCAGACCGGTGAGCCTATTGGACCAGTAAAAAAATCATTGTCATCCACAAAGATAGTGTTTTTCTAATATTGTTTAAAGGCATATACAGCTTTAAATACTCTCCTTGGATACAGGAATGTGCAGAGGAGGCAAGAAGGAAAACTATACTGTGAGACCATGTCATAATTGGGAAGAGTTTTTGAGATGTGTTATTAAAATGGAATATAAATATTTTGAGCAGGGATCATTTTAACCTCTGCACCAGACAGCTTGAAATAATTAAGCAAATGTTTTGCTTTTTACAGTATAATACATTTGTCTATGCTGTCAACAGCAAATGTAAGATCTAGCAGCAAGACAGGATTAGTGAGCCTTCACCACTTTAAGAGATGTTCTCTGTGGAATGAAGAAAATTCAGCCTGTAGTAGTTCATGTAAAATTTTAGCTCTATACATTGATTAGTGAGCTGAAATACATTATCTACATACTACCTTTCAAAATAAAAAAATATATGTTCAAAACAAATACATCATTTGAGCTTTTTGTCCATGTTAAAAGTTTTATTTCTTTTGATTGTTTTGGACGTATAATGTGGAAAATCCCTGCAGCCAGTTACTTTCATTAAAAGCATGGGCAGTTTTAGAAAGGGGCCAACAGGGGCCTTTGCCCCTGTACTGAAAACATAAATTAAAAAACCTTCTTATATTGATATGCTTGAACAAAAACCGCAACTAATTGGTCCCTTTGAGTAATTTAATAACAAAGCTTTTCAGATTACCTTAACACTAATTTAGAAATGATGGTCTGTTGCCTTATTCAGATAGGATCGCAGTTTTTAATCTATCAGATCAGCGGTCTGCAAGCTTTCTTTGTGGCTCACTTAAAGTCGTAGGAAAGCGGCAGTTTCAACCGTTGCATTTCCAAATTCTCTCAAGAGGTGCCCGACTTTACATGAGTGAGTAAAGTGAATTGTCGATTATCACGAGACCAGGGTTGTTGTGGCAGAAGGTTCGCAAGGAAGTTTGGTTGTGACCGGTGTCTCGGAAGCATCTTGCCAACTAGTTAGCAACTTAATGCTAGTAGGTTCCCAATGGGAAATCACTTTGTGACCAATTGGCACTTAATTGGTGACCTTAAACGACACTGTCAAGGAACGCTATGGACAGCGGAAACATGCAAGAGGAGGAGAGTTTTGTGTCGGAGGTCGTGGATGAGTCACCTCCTTCATACATTTTTTATTTAGAGGAGGAAAGCGTGGAGGAAGATGTTGTGGAAGAGGACGCCAGGGCGGCAGAAGCTTGGTTTGGTGTAGATGGGTTAAAGCTGTACATGTTTGATCTCTTGCCACACAACGCTGCCAGTTCTGTTAGCTCTACGCCTGCCGAAGACCCAGACGTCCATCTCCGTGAAAACTGGGACATAACTTAATGGGAAAGTAAATGATTCTTATTTCAACTGTTGTGTATTTTAGCTGCGACATCTGAATCAAGATGCTATGACCGAAAAGATTTGATTGACAGATGACTGTTGATGTATGATTGGCTGAATTTCGGTGTACAAGCTGACATACAACTAACTTTCCTGCATAAAATAACGAAAAAACCCCAGATTTTAAGACAGAATTTTTTTTTTGAACAGAAAGTGTCGGGACAGTATTGTCAAAGAGTATATTTATATACATGTTTAAGCCAGAATGATTTAACATTAACATATGATTTCACTACGACTTTAATATACAACACAATGCTCTATTAATCTGTTTTTTTTTTTTTGTATATGATTTTTTTTTGTTGGAATAAAAAAACAACCCTCCCGCCAGTAAGATTAGTTGGTTGGTTAACATTCACAGATTAGCACCTTCTTTGTATTTGATTCAATTGATTTTTGTTTAAGACTTTTAAATTAGGCTACTTATATACTTTACATAATCTTTGGGTTTTACCAAAAATATTTACTGTTTTTGCTAGATGTTGAATTTGAAGCACTTATATGAAATGGGCTGTCTTGCATGTTTCAGGAGCGCTTGGTTCTTTTGTAATTTATTAATTATATCTTATGCAAATATGTAAATTAACAGTTTTCTTAAAACAATCAGGTTTATTGGTAATTTATTAAATATATCTTCTGCAAATATGTAAATGAAGAGTTTTCTTAAAACAATCAGATTTCTTTGTAAGTTATTAATTATATCTTCTGCAAATATCTCACAGTTTTCTTAAAACAATAAGGTTTATTTGTAATTTATTTATTATATCTTCTGCAAATATGTAAATTAAGAGTTTTCTTAAAACAATCATGTTGACTTCCGGCATTCGCTTTCCATAAACCTCTTACGTCATTTCCGGCCAGCTATCGCTTCCGGATGCGGTGAATAGCAAAGACGATGAAACCACCGCTCCTACGAGGATTAATTAAAACGGCCAGACGCTTTCGGTGCACTTAGCAGAGATATCTACACCGGCCAGGCTATTTTCATCTAGATAGGTTGAGTCAGTTGAGACAGCGCGGTTTGACCGTCTTCCTTTGAGCTGTTTTGCTATTTTACAAAGTGTTTATATCCTCGAGCTGCTAGCTTAAGCCTCGGTTAGCTGGTGCGCAGACAACGGGCTGTCTCTGAGATGATAATCGGACTCGCTGCTGTTTAACCTGATACAGCTCTCCCTTCTTTCCTTGTTCAGTGGGGTGCAGCTGTCTACGTGTTTTGGGTCTATGTTAGAAGCGTTTACATAGTCTTTACGGACCTACTACCGCGACTATCCTACATACAGGTTTGGTTATTAAAAAAAAAAAAAAAGTAAATAGTATCTGAAATCAAGTTACAACTTAACAAAATGGCTGGACTCTGGACTTCAATCTCTTCCAGGAAAACACTGCAGATAGTTTGTAAATAACACTTCCCTGTCAGCTTCTAGGCTGCTCTACTTTAGCATTGTTCTGCCGACAGGACACTTAAAACTACATTCCGTGTTGGAAACTGAAGAGGAAGACGACATCCTTTATTTATTTATACTTGTTGGTCTAAGCCACGTTTATCTTTTCATACTCCAAGATCTTCAGCTCAACAGGTTAGTTAACTTCGCTGCTTGTCATATTATTTGGTGTTTGTTTTGTTTCTCATGATTCCTCTATTAAAAGTTAGTTAAGTCTTTGTAAGGTGCAAGTTTAATTGCAATAGGAGCTTAACATTTAGCACATTTAAAAAGCAGAGGATACAATGAGACGTGGCCTTAGAAATTATATTCGTTGGTTTAATATAATATGAAAAAATATGTAAATAGTGCCTTATTATTAATGTATTGTCATGTTTTAGCTAGTATTGCCTAGAATGTCTATAGATAGCTAGCAGAAGAGACAACACGGTTTAAAATAACTATAGAAAAGAAGTAACTAGCCCTAGATTCATTTAACAGATGAGAAGTTGTTTAGAAACAGGATGATGAAGAAATATAGGAGGTCAATTAAAGTTGGGAAATACATCAAAGTTTTTTTTTCTAACCACCATTTTAGCCAGTTTCAGTCATGTAAAAATGAAGAATAAGATGAAATATTTTTTTCTAGCTTTCTTCCTGTGGTGTTATTTATTTTATGGGGCATATTTGATGTACAACTTTATAAACAGTCGGTATAGTATGTTTTATAATATTAAAAATCAATTACAATATTGTCATTATTTGAAGAAAATGTAACCAATTTTAGCAGTTCATATTTTAGACAACTCAGATCCTTAACCAAATATTTCTGAAAAGGAGCCAACACTGTCAAAATCCAGCATGGTAAAACACCACATCTCTGCTGTACTCTGTTTACCCGTTAACCTTGTTATCTGCAGAAAATCTTGCTGTTTAACAACTAGAGTTCAAAGCAGATGTGTATCTACTGGAAATAGATAATTTAGTGGTCTTTCCTCGGTAACGGGGCCCAAACCAGAGTGTTATCTTTGTAGCTAACCTTTGGCTTGTGCTGTGAATTGTTTTTTATTCACTTCTAAACACCTGTACCTTAGCACTAACTTATATATTCCAGCAATCTACCTCATTCTAATAGTTTTCAACACTTTCCAAAACCCAAGTCGAAATATTTAGACATTACCTCTAAAATGTTTTATCCTGGAGAGTTTTATTTCACCGTGGTTAAATCAATAGTAAAAGAAACATAAGTTTATTTTTATTTAACATTTATGTTATTGAAAAAAGCTCATTTTTGTCATATTTTAATGTATATCAAAAAATAAAAGCTCTATTTTTAGTATTCTCCAGAGATTTATAAATCTTCACCATCACTACTGTCACCTCCAGGCAATGGCCTTCGCACATGACATTGTAATAAAGCTCTTGTTGTGTTAGATTGGTGCTGATGTACTGGTACACTGACCCTGTTGTCCTTTCCCCACAAAGTGAAGGATGAATGGCCTCTCTCTCAGAGAGCTCTGCTGCCTGTTCTGCTGCCCACCATGCCCAAGTCGCATCGCAGCCAAGCTGGCCTTCCTGCCTCCGGAGCCCACATACACCTTTCTGCCAGACCCTGAAGCAGGCCCTCCCACACCGGGTGCAACTGGGACGTCAAGCCTGCGGTCAAGGACTGGCGCTTCAGTTTCTGGAAGCGGGGGAGCTGGTGCTGTGGAGGGGAGGTGCAAGCTTCACCTGACAGAAAGAGCAGAGTTTCAGTACACTCAGCGAGAGCTTGACACCATCGAAGTCTCCCTCACACGCTCCAGTAGAGGCAACAAAGTCGGCTGCATGTACATTCGCTGTGCACCAAATGCCAGGTGAGTGGTTTAAAAACTTCCTCTGCTCTTTTTTGGTGGTATTATGTGTACCATCTAATATTCTTTCACTTTCCGTATTAATTTTATAGTTTGTCACACTCCCCCAGAACCACCATGGATCTCAAACTCAGTTCTTAAGGACTTGTTTGATGCATTTTTTGGGGACTATGTTCACACTGCAGGCCTTGGTGCTCAATTCCAATTTTTTTGTGAAAATCCAATTTTTTTGCGTTGCCATTCACATTTCCAAATATATGCGACTTGTATTTGATCTCCTGTGTGAACTTCAGTCATACAACACAAGTGTCCCGCATGCGCAGTAGAGGACACAATGACATCACAAGCCAGTGTGCTCTGTGTTTTTTGGAAGTAAACACGGATGGTAGTGCCGGAGCACATCCGCCGATCATAAAAACACAATCTTTTCAAGATGGTTAAATGTAAATACTGCTCTCCGCATCATCGTCTGCCATGGTTGTTGTTCTTCTTGCCGCTTCTTCATAGCAAGACACAGAATAGTGACCTTAGTCGGGTATTAATGGCGCTCAGGTCGGATGAATGCGACCTGGCCGTTCAGACAAAGGTCGCATTTGAAAAGATCAGATTTGTATCGCATTCAGGACCACATAGCCTAGTGGTCTGGGTCGCATTGGAAAAAAATCGGATCTCTGTTGTTCAGATAGTAATGAAAAGATCAGATCCAGATCGCATATGGGCCAAAAAAAAATCGGATTTGGGTCACTTCAGGCTGCAGTGTGAACGTAGCCTTTGTGTGTCTTTGCTTCAACATGCTGGTATCCAACATTTTGGTAGCAGGATACGGTAAAACTGGATGGCATGCTGAGGATGTAATTCAGCCATTTGATTCAAGTGTGGCAGAAAGGAGACACATTTAAATGTTTTCAGTTTTCCAGACTTGAGTTTGTACTGCTGATCTAAATGTAGAGATGCACAGATTAGGAAATATTAGGTGATTAACGAGCTCTGTTTAGTTTGTTTTTTACACAACACTTCTTTAGCAATCAAGAAGGAAAAAACTAAACGGAACAGAATCGTATTGTTTCCTCATGTAGATAGATCTGTGATGGTGGGAAATGACTTGGTATATGCCTATATGCTTTTTGAAATGGTGATTTATAAGTCAGCTGAAATTAATTAAAATGAAATAACCTTAATGTTTTTAGCTCTGCTTTGTAGCCGCCCAATTATAAGCAGACATTTTCAGTTGAAAATAATTTTTGTAAATAAAAATGACTTCTAATACCTTATCCCCTTTCTTTGAATACATTTTTTATGCCTCACCAATTTAGAAAATTTACAAATTTTAGTCTTCTTTCCTCAACAATTCAGAGTCAAACGCTCTCAGATTAGGGCTTTTCAAGCTGAAGATTATCCTATTTTAGTACTTTTTTCTTTTACTCTCTTTTAAATACCTTTAAAACCCTAAACTATCTCCTTTCAATCAGAGTCTATATAAAAGCTAGACGTTCCAGTTTCTGTTGTTTGGGTTTTATTGTAGTAATGAAACTGTGTTACGCCTAGTTTCCAGTAAGTCAGAGACAAAGTCATCAAAGGTCTTTGACATTGACAACATATGTTGTGATCAGTGGAGGCTTTATGGTGCTGGTTTAAACATTAAACACTACTTTATTAGATATGTACCCAATTGAAATTCACTGAGAGACCAACCCTGCTAATAAAGTTGCTGATTCTCTTAAAAAATAAATATAAATCTTGTGTTGTGACCTTCTTCCTTAGAAGATAATAACAAAAGCTAAGATTGACAGATTAATGCAAACAAAAACCTGAACACTTGTGTAAAAAAACTAAAACACTTGTCTTCATTGCAGCGGTTTTACTTTTTTTTTTTATCATAAATTTTAACATGTCAGGAATCTTAAGCACATCTACAAACATTTGCTTTAAACCTCCTCCCCATAGATTCACCGTGCTCTTCTCCCACGGCAACGCGGTCGACCTCGGCCAGATGAGCAGCTTCTACATCGGCCTCGGCACACGAATCAACTGCAACATCTTCTCCTACGACTACTCAGGTTATGGAGTCAGCACAGGGAAACCCACCGAGAAGAACCTCTATGCAGACATAGATGCTGCCTGGCATGCCCTGCGCACACGGTAAGTCATTCTAAAGTCGGCCCACTTGTATTGGTTTATGCCGTTTCTCACATGACAGCCTTTTCATGTCATCCAAGAGTGACAATGAAGAGCTTAGAGAGTTTTTCCATAGTCTGTTGATCCTGGTGATATTTTTGGACTAAATAATTAGATTTCTATAGATGTTTATATCCTCAGTAGGAGCTGTTGCTCGTC